CAGGCCCAAGGCGAAGGCAGGGGAGACCAGGCAACCGAGAACACCCCGCCGCCCCCCCGGCACAAGAGCCCACGGCCATGCGTCCCCGAGACAACCACCCGCCCAACCCAGGAGGCAGCCCGCGAGGGACCAAGGGGGGCCCATATAGACAAAGAGCCCCCCCCCCCCCAGGAGCGGACCCACGGCAACCGGGGAGCGGCAGACCCCCCACCCAGCCCAAACCGAACCCCCCAATCCGCCTAGCAGGGCCCAGAGCGTCCCAAGATTCCCCGGACCGCCCGCCAGGGCCCCACCACGGCGCAGCAGAGCCAAGGACCACCCGGCCCGCGGCTCAAGAGAGGAGGCCGCCCACACCGGCCAGGGTCTCCCGAACCCCCCCATGATGGATCTTCCACCCGGCGGGCCACCCCATCCGCGCAGGGCCAGAGACAGAGAGATAGGGGGGGCCCCTCAGCCCCCATCGCCTCCCCGTCCCATGTTGGTGTGAAGTGTGCATGTATATGTGTGAGAGAGTTGTGTGTTTATGTCTACAATGCATTCAGATTAGTGGGTGCAGTTCGGGTATGGGATTTAAACCACTAACACTAACCTCCTAAACAGAGGTACAGCATCCTTACCCACTGAGCTACACACCACTGCCAAAGCATGGTGACGTTTGTGTTAAATGGAAATGGGGCTATAGACAGACAGACAGCCTGCAGACAGCTGATGGAGATGTGGCTAGGGCATACCTTGTACGTGGATATTCACTGCATTACTTTCTTTCTTGATGTTTTTCTTTTCTATGCTGGCCACACAGTGATATTTCCCACCAGTCACAGAGTACTGGACATGGGAAATGTTGTACCAGGGCTGGTGAGTTATTGCCTGGATCTGTGAACCATGGTAGAAACTGTAGAGGATCTCAGCCTGGCCTAAGGGGGAGCTGGGGTGGGAGTCACAGAGCAGGGAGAGGGAGGAGGTGTCTGACACGCTGGAGCCGGGGTGGGGGGACAGAGTGACAGACTGGAAGAAGTCTGAAGGAGAGAGAGAGATAGCACAGCTTGGTGAAGTCATCCCACATGCCCATAATAAGCTGACAGCCATAAACTGAATGCAGTAATTCCAGCGACCTGGGATGACAGCAGGGAGCCTTTAGTCAATGACTTAGAGGGTCTCATTGGGCAAAGCTCACCAGCAGAGGGCAGAGCATAGTAGGCAGGCCAAAGCGAGCCCTTACCTGATACCCTGAGGTGAATCTTGGATGATGATAAGGATAATGGGTATTTTTGATAAGAAACACAATAATATTCTCCTTCATGTGTCTTAGCCACATTATTTAGGGTCATCTCGCCATTGTTACGGATCATGAATCTTTGGTCTTTGTAGAAGTCATAGTAATATATGTTTCTTTTTGTGAGACAATAAAAGGTCACAGTGTCTCCCTCTGTCACTGTTTGGGATGTGACTTCTATGATGACCTCTGCGAAAGACATTTTGCGCACACACACAAACACCCACAGACACACACACACACACACAAACACCCACAGACCCAGACACACACACACCGGATTATGTAAAAGACTTAGGCCATCAAGGATATAGCGTAAAACTATATATCTGCATAGTAAGTGTATGTTTGATCACAAAAATAAAACATTTAACACTAGAATATATGCAAATGAACAGAAACACAAGTGACAAGAATTTCTTCTGTTCTTCAAAAAGTCACTGTTATCTTGTTGGATGGTTAGATGAACACTACTTCTGTTCACAAACCTCTCCTCGGGGGCAGTATTTGTAACAAATTCCAAGTATTTGTTAATTTTCATGACCTGCTAACTTACTTTGGTAACTTAATGAGATAACAATGTAGCCCAGCATGGTATGCAAGTGGTTGAGTGCACTTCGGTACATTGGATGGTTTCTGCAGATACTGGGGGTTTGAAATGGCTACACTAACACACTTCAGCATAAAACTGTAGTTTTACATCAATGTAAAGATAATTTAACAAAATTTTCCTAAGCAGCCTAAGACTTTTGCACAGTACTGTAAGTATGTCTGGTTACATTTACACAAACCTTAATATGTTAGCTTGGTCAAACTGGATTTTATTTAAAACTGAACAGAATTGCTTGATGTTTAATATCCAGCTGCTGTGTTCCATGAAAGTTAGATTGCAATGAAAAAAGAAAATTCTTCATCTGGTCTTGCAGCTGAATTATCAGCAATGACGTCTGACAGACTTACCTTTGACTTTTAAATCTACAGTGTTACTTTTCTGATTTTCACACTGACACTGATAAAGTCCACTGTCCTTCTCTGAAGTTTTCATTAATAACTGTTTTGTTTGAGGGTAACGTAAATTTATATTGTCCTTTGTCCATAAAATTGACTTTGAGCAACTTGTTCTACACTGAAGTAGAACATGTTCGTCTTTTAAAACCTCTGTCCTATTAGAGCAAATAGACAGAGTGGGCAAATATCCTGGAATCAGAAGACAGATGACATATCACAGAAGGCCCATTCATATACAACTATAAACATGCTTTTTTCTTCATAGAGTGCTCAACAGCCATGCAGTGCATACCCAAAAAATATTAAATGGAAAACACACACACACACACACGCACATGTAGGGTATACATATCCTTATGGGGACCGCTCATTCATTTCAATGGGAAAAATGCTAACGCTAACTATGACAACCTTAACCCCTACCCTGCCCTAACCATAACCATAAGTAACCAAACAAAATACAAGAGTTTTTGCATTTTTAGT